ATATACTATATATATACTATATATTATATATACTATATAGTATATATATAGTATATATACTATATATAATCAACGAAATAATGAACAGGTCAATGGGTTCATATACTTTGAGTACATTCCCCTCATTGCGGAACCCATTTTTGAATTCATGTCGCGTAAGTCGCAGAGTAATGTTATTGATGTCAATAATTTTCAAACTGAATTTTCGTTCCGCGAGGTTGTCTCTGTTAAGTCGAAACGAGTACGTCCAGCGCTCATGGGGAATACTTACGAACTTGTGTCATTTGAGTTTGATAATGCATTGCCCTTTGTTGTTCCCAGTTACGAGTTTAAGACAAGGGATGAAGTCGAGAGTTTGATAGGATGGATCAAGAAGAAAGGTGGGAAGGTTTGTGTGATTTGTTCTACCTCATATATGAAGGTGTTGTATTAACGATATAGGTGACAGTAGAAGACAACGAACACGAAGAGTGTATTTATCGGATTGACGCGCGTATGGCTAACACTGAGTCTTTCCAACAACGTATGAATCGTGTGAGTATGATGTGTATCAAAGCTACGAATGATCCTGTCAAGCAAGTTTCTCGGAAACAATGGGTGAAGAGTAACGGCGTTTTTGAAATGAACAGTTCCTTTGAAAACTTAACTGGAAAGAGGAGGGAAGAGATTCGGCGAATAGTTAAATACAAAGGATTATCGAAAGGGAAGAGTCGAGTGTTTGGGTGGATGGTGTGTGGGGGGGAGATCTTAGAATCTGAAAAAAAGGAGTTAAGGTATGACATGGAAATAGCGCGGTGGAGTGAGCGGTTTCGGGCTCTCAAGAGTCAATGGAGTCTTTTTCTACCGGAACAACTTGAGCGGTGGAAGAGTGTGCGAGACGTCCAAACACAAATTCAAAAGGATTTAAGCAGAACTTTGATAGAACAAGATAAAGTTGGATTACTTCAAGATATCCTTCAGAATTACGCACTTTTTGATATGGAAGTGAATTACATGCAAGGTTTGTTGAAGCAATTCATTATTATAATAATTATAACTAATTATAACTAATTTATAATTAATTAATAATAACACTTTAGGTATGAATGAAATAGCATCGATTTGTATTAAAGAAGGGAACACCGAAATTGAAAGTTTCATACTCTTTACAATGGCTATGAAAATGGTAAGAGAGTTTTATGCCGAGGCGAGCGTCAAAAATTTATGTCAGAAAGTTGCGATCATTGTGAAAGTTGTAGACAAGGAGTTGTATGAGTGGATGACAAAAAATGAAATTGACTTCATGTTCTGTTGGAGAAGCATCGCACTACTCTTTAAAAGGGAATTTAAGAAGGAAGATGTGTTGCGGATATGGGACTTCTTGATCAGTTACATCGAAGACAAAATGTACCTCTTTTTGATGGTTGCCGTGTTAGTGATCAACAGAGAGTTTATTTTGAGTGTAGACAGCTTTGATGATTTACTTCAGTTTATGACGATGATACAAAACCAAGACGTTGAGATCATTTGGGATGCGGATATGTTGTTTAACCAGTTCATTCGAACGGCTACTACTAAAGACAAGAACATTGTCTTCCATTAAATTACTTGAACAATAATATACTATTTTTTACTATCAAAATATAGTTTTTTGTTGTCTATTTGGGACATTTTTCTCAAAATAAATTTATTTATTCTTTTTCTTATAATTTTGTGTTCCAAAGAAAAATACCAAAAAAGGCGCATTGGGATTGGTTTTGATTCAATACCTTTTCTACTCCAAAAGAACTTGAAAAGTGAAAAAGAGAAGTCTTGATGAGCAATTTTACGATGTATTATAAACTCGACGGAGATTCATTGTTTCCAGTCATCCAAAATATGACCGCAGAGGACATCCTCCCTTTCATGATGATCAATAAACGATACCAACAAATCGTCTTGAAACTCGCGGTCGTTCCATCGTTCAAATCGTTGACACAAAAAACACTCAGAATGTTTCCAGCAGCAAAAACGATCTCGTTTGGCCTTGAGAATTACGTCGACACCTTTGGCGATGACGAACGATATAAAAATGCCGATTACGAGTTTCACATCACTTTTAGTCCAAATGACGTCTCGTATATTCCATACTTGGACAGAATCGCTAACAAACTGATTTCATTGAATGTGCCTTTCCCGGTCCCAAACACCGTCGAACTTCTTCCAATTCTCCTCAAAATGTCGAACCTTCAAACACTTGTTATTGACGCAGGCAATTTGTGTAAAATCTCACAATTGTCTTCAAGTGCACTGGTCGACATCTACTCACTCCCACAACTGAAACTCGTCAAAATCACCGCACTCTCCCTCACACTCATTTCTCACTATTTGCTGTGGAACGACGTGTTCGGGACAAAGATGGACTCGGCGACTAAAACAATCATCTACATCAACAGACTACAAGACAACGACGACTTGCTGAATGTCGTCAATAAAGCACCGAAAAACGTCCATTTTATGATCGACTGTAATGAGAACTACGACGGGCTGTACGACTTGCTGGCGCACAAAAGTGTTTATCTCTCATTCAATAGAGTATATACAGGTATTGGGTGCACTGTATCTAAAGACACTGACAACGCGGAGAAGTACCGCAAAATACTTGACGGGTTGTTTGTGCAATACATGCCACGAGCAATTTGTCCAAATTGTTTCATGGACTTGCAGTTCATTCAAGACGCGTTGACGGTGACAACACTGTACAGCGTCAACGAGGAACTTTTAGAAAAAATGAAGAGACTTGAACAACTCACTGTGAGCGAGCAATTTGGCGAGCTGAAAACGTCGTACGACTTTAGAAATTTGCTCTCGTTAACTTCTTTGAAGCTCATCGGTTTCGAGTCGAAAAAGAGAAGCGTGAAACTCCCTTCAAGGTTAAAGGAGCTCGAGGTCTTAGGTTTCATCAACGAAGAAAAGGATGTTGATGTCGAAAACGTTGAAGGGTTTGTCGGCCTCACGGTATTGACAAAACTCGCAATGACAAAATGTCAGTCTATTTCGCTCTCATTACCATCCTCATTAAAATCACTCCAATTAACTGACTTCCCATGTATGTCAGAATTGCCTTTACAAAGACTCCAAATTTTGTCTTCAATCTCAGTCAATTCGTGCGCCGCAATGACATCCATTTTACTCGGAGATGCGGTCAGAACAATTAATTTGGTCAACTGTGGAAGACTCAAAAATGTCCACTCGTTCAAAAAGGACTTTAAACTGACGGCCGACGCATGTTACGCACTCGAGAAGTGAAACTTTGTAACTGATTTTAACTGACTTTTGTTCATTCAAATTTATAGATACTCACAGGGTGTTGGAAACGGTTTTGAACAATCAATCACTTTTGCTCGTGTTTTTCTTCCTTTGTATCGCTTGGTTTGTCTTGTTGCGCGCTTGTGGATGGTTCCTTTGGAACGTCTTTCATGATATCGGCCTCGCCACTGTCATCGCTTTCGTCTTTTTTCGCTAGCTCAACTTGCTTTGGATGGAATAGCCCATAACTGTATGGGTGCATAAAACCCGTGTATTTGTTTGCAACATACTTCCCCTTTTTGCTTTGCAAGATTTTCTCACCAACCGCCTTCTCATCTTTAGTTTCGACCTCTTTCTCTTTGCCTTTCACGCCATCCCTTTTGATGGTGGTTGTGGTACAAGAGTATTTAAACCCAATGACACCCGGATTATCGTACGTGACCTCTTTCTTCTTGGGAATCGCGTCAATAGCAAGTTCATTCTCTTCCCTCCGTTCGGCCAAAACCTTCTTGACCTGGGCAACGTACTGCGCGGCAACAGCTTGCTCTTCGACAGCTTTCGCAATTGGATTCGGGTCGTCAAACGCCCAACGAACATTCAACCTCTCATCACCGTCAAGAGCTTGATCTCCCATTGCGACCTTTGCGAACTCGGCCGCTCCCCTCATTCTGTACCGCACAAACGCGATATTTCTCACTGGCAACACTCTGACTATTTGTTAATGTTTTTGTTTTCACCCATATAATAATAATACAAAATCAAAGAGTTAAAACATATTACACAAAATTCTAATGTTTAATCACTTTACTTGTTAATAATATGTAATGAGTAAATGTGATACAATACAAACTATACTCGAGCTCTCCCCATTCAGCAAAATGTCTTCTGAGGATTTCTTCAATTTGTTGTGGTGGTAGGTTCCCCTTAAACCCCGTGACATACAGCGTTCTGTTTTCTTTGGAAAATTTACCGATACCGCCCATATCCTCTCGGTCTGTCAAATGCCTCTCTCTCCCAAAAATGTCAGTCGTGGCTCCAAGTCTATTCTCGTCTTCTTGTTGGGGGAGTTGGTGTTTGTACACACACTCTCCACCTTTAAAACACTTCCCCAACGCAAAGTGAATGCATAACGGTGAGTTCGGTTGTGATTTTGTCGTTCCCGCATCTGTTTTTACACAACACCTTGTCATGTTTCCTCTATCACCTCTCGACTGCTTGTACTCAAACCCGCTGTAGCGGTTATACCATATATTGTAATCGCCACTTCGGTTTGGTGTAAATGGAGTGTATGTGTCTGTTTGTTTCCGTGCCGGTTTGTTTAAAACGGGTTCGTAGCTATAGTCTGAGCTTGCCTCCTTCTTTTCGTTCATCTGTCTTAATTGAGTTTCTTTTTATATTATTATTTTCCAAAAAACAGAATAGTGATAGGATTAGATTGTGTTTTTGAGAACTATTTTAACTATACAATTATAAAATAATAAAATAAACCATTTTATATAGTTGATGTGTTTTTTTCATCTTTATTTGTTTTTGACACAATCGAAACAAAAAAAATTGACTTATTCAATTTTTTGATCAAAAACTTGATGAAAACAAAACAAAGTCAAAAAAATGAAAAAAACGAAAGACGACTTCTTGAGGTATAGGAACCCTACTTAAAAATCATTTTTCAAAAAAAGACTGAAGTCCTTCAAAAAAAACTACAAAAGAAGAATGAGTGACATTGAGGAGTTAGCACACAAAAAGGTGAAATTCTACACTTTTGGGTGTTCTCATAATGTGAGTGACAGTGAAGTGATGCAGAAGGATTTGACCGAAGCCGGATACATTTTAGATAAAGCGGACTCTCCTTTAGAAGGCAATTACACTGCTGTTGTAGTCAACAGTTGTACTGTGAAAAACCCGTCGCAGCAATCGATTGAACAAATTAAAAAGAAGTGCGAGGAGATGCACATCCCCGTTGTCTTAGCGGGATGTGTTCCGCAAGCGGATCCAAAGGTATTTAAGTGTTCTAAAAACTGTTCGATAGTTGGTGTTGACCAACTTCATAAAATCAAAGACGCCGTCGAGTCAGCCGTTCGCGGAGAAGGAGCGACGTATCTTGAGAGAGGACCGTTAGTTGACATCGACTCATATGAGAAGAGTAGTCCACTCATAGACATTATAGTGACATGTACAGGGTGTGAGAATGCATGTACATATTGTAAGACAAAACACGCGCGTGGTGGGCTGAGGAGTTATCCCATTATTGATATCATCAAACGAATTAAAAAGTCGATCAATGAAGGAGTTAAGGAATTGCGATTGACTGGTGAGGATATTGGAGCATATGGAATGGATATTGGAGACACGTTTCCACATATGTTGAAAGAGATGTGTGACGTAGTAGAAGGTAAAGCAATGATCAGAATTGGAATGGTGAACCCGCCATACATCATTAAGTACTTTGACGAGATTGTCGAGGTCTTTAAGAGAAAATGTGTGTACAAGTTCATTCATATTCCTATCCAATCGGGATCAACTCAAGTTCTTGAAGCAATGAAAAGAAAATATACACGAGAGGAGTTCGATGATGTCTGCGCGCGACTCAGGAAGTGTATACCCGAGATCACCATTGCAACCGACATCATTTGTGGATTCCCAACAGAAACGGACGAAGACCATAAAATGACGTTGGACTGTTTGAAAGTGCACCAATTTCCGATTGTTAACATCTCCCAAATGTGTATTAGACCGGGTACCCCCGCAGCTCAAATGAAACCAGTCAATTCAAAAGTTAAGAAACAACGGAGCAGAGAAGTCACAGAGTACTTTGATTCCTATTTCCCATATAAGAATATGGTTGGGAAGACCTGCCAGGTGTGGATCAATGAAATGGCCCACGACAAACAAAATTATGCCGCCCACGATATCTCATTTGTCCAAGTCATTTTGGCACCACAGAAGAATGTCGACTTATTTGGGAAGTCTGCTATTGTGAAAATTGTTGAGGCGGGGAAGTTCTTTGTGAAGGGCGAATTTGTGTCACTTGCGGAGTAAACACTGCCGACTTATAAGTGGGATTGAGTTATTATATCAACTATCTTAACACTTTCATAACCCAAAACTTTTTTTTAAGAAGAAAAATAAGTAAAAAAGAAATTGTCTAAAAGATTTTTTTATTATTTTTATTCCAAAACCCCTTTCTAACCCAAACCGGCCAATAGTCAGTTTTATTTTACTTAAAATAATTAACAAATGAGAACTCAATTACCTAAGATTGATCAAAAATAATCTTTTTGGATGAAATTTCATATCGTTTTATTGTGTTACAACAATTAATATAAAAACGCTTCATCGTCAATTCACTTTATAACAAACAACTTCAAATAGTCGCATTAACAAATATAACGACTTTAAAAACACTATTTACGTTATAATCAAATGATAATATACTTTTTTTATATAAAAAACAACCAAAAATATTAAACCATCATTGGACCCCATCTTTCTTTCTAATGCTTTGCTCTTCTTTAACACAAAAAAACTCAATGTAGCATCAAAAACAGATGAAGTTGTTACTTCACATAATACTTAACACTTCATGTTAAGTGTGACCAAAAAATAAACAATTCAAATTTGAGTTGATTAAAAAATAAATAAAAAATTTCAAAAATTTGTTTTGTGTATGAAGGCAAAAAAAGGGTTTAGGTAAAAGAAAAAAATAAAAACTTTCTATTATAACGTTTCTGTTTTGAACGTGTTAACTATACTGATAACTAAAATGGTAATTTATAACTTTTTAGAATAGTTCTAACATTGCATAGTTTTTGTTAATTAAAATATACTATAAAATAAGAACCAAATAACAAACTTAAAGAACTAGTCGCATAATTATTTCCATAAGAAAAACGTTCTATTCAGAATAGAATACTTTTATTAATAAATAAGTTATAAAACCCAATTAACTTGTTGTATTCATCTTTTAGGAAACACTACCAAAAAGATAAGTGAGGCAATAACTAAAAAAGCAATGGCTATTACAACACTCGACGAAGGAATAATTATTACCCTTTGGTCATATCCGGTGTCTGTGGACTGTAAAGTCCAACTTTCTGGAATGTCTTCTGAGTTTGAACCCCAAACCAAACTCTTGTTTGTGATGATCAACGACGGGAAATATAAGTCCAAAGCGTATTTGGACTGCACGAAATATAATAAAGTGACTGACGTTGTATCGAAGTTTGGGAATAATGATGTCATTGTTGTTAAAAAGTCGGACCTGAGGGATTTGAAGGTAAATGGTCGAGTACAAAAGTCGATTATATTGTTGGAATATGTGAAACAATGTGGAAAGACACATCAACTTGGACAACCAATACCACTGACCCACGAAAAAGTGTTGGAAAGGGCGTCCACAACACAGCCGCAAACAGATATTTCTAACACTCAACAACAGAAAATGGTAAAACCACAAGTCGATCAAACAAGACAACGGACAAATATTACACAAAACACTGTGACAAAGAAACAAGTGTTTGAACAAAAACCACAACCATCGTATTCAAAGAATGTACTACAACCGAATATTGACACTAACCCTCCTTTATGTCAAATAATTCCTTTTGTCATTTCTGAGCCGATAATTTCAGTAACAGACATCACAAACGGGTTACAAAGTGTCCACATAAAAATCGAAAAACGTGTTGCAATGTACAAAGAAAACATCCAACAGTTAGACGAACTCATTGAAAGAGCCAAACAACAGAAAGAACAGATTGAGATGGAAAATAAGAAAACCAAAGAACTTCTTGATATGTTGCAAGCGGATAAAAAGGAGTATGAAATGAAAGAGAGAGAACGAGAGAATTGTCATGTCAGAGAAGAATTAAGGAAACAACACGAGAAGTTCTACTATCTGGAAAGCTCAATACAACAACAACAAAGAGAACAGGAGAGAATTATAAGACATCAAATGGAGATGACTGATATGTATAATAATGAACGAGAAGATGTTCAGCGTCTCACTGTGACATTTAATCAATATAAAGAGAAAGGGTTAAGCTATGTAAATACTCACACATTAAATGACCAAGACGTGGAAATCCAGAAACGACAAATCACAACATTGTATGCAAAACTGAGAGCACGAAACCATATAAGGGACACGGTACTCAAAAAGCATGAAGATATTATGAAAGCTCTCAACTCAAGTTCGACAGAATGAAGTCCATGGAACTTAATTTTTGAAGAATACAATTTCAGGCATTCTTGAGAATTCTATAAATAAATACATTACGTATTATTAGTATAATAAAAAATGTTATACTTTTTATTAGAGGCTTTCCCGAAATAGAATAGATAATGATTTGGAAAACGTTATTTTAAACTCTTAAAACAAAGGAGACTCAGACTTGTTGAGCTTCTTACAATTTGAAAAACAGTTGATGCCTATGTCCTTGATATCGGGAAGTGTTAGATTACTGAGTAATACACAATTTCTAAAGCATTCATTTCCAATGGAAAGGACAGAGGTTGGAAGGGATAACTCTGGTAATATATTACAACAATTGAAACACCCATCACCAACAGCAGTGATGCCATTTGGAATGAATACTTTGGTTAAAGTGTCACACCGATAGAAACACGAATTTGGTAGGTATGTCAGGGAGGTGGGAAGACTAATTTCTTGAAGCGATGTACACATACAAAAGCACTCTTTTCCAATATACTCCACCGCGTCATACATTTTAATTTTTTTTAAACTTGAGCAAAATTTGAAACATTCTTCACCTATAAATGTGAGAGTCTTTGGAAGATGAATTGATTCCAAATAGTAACAACTAAAGAAACAAGCATCTTTCATGCTAAAAATGTTGTTCATTATATCTATTCTTCCTTTCACACGCTTGGAAAAACACTTCTCACCAAAGATAGATACTTCTTTAGGTATCGGGTTAAAGTACTTCGTGTCATTTTGATTCAACTCCACCTTTCTTAAGAACACTTGTTGCCCTTGTTGTGACAATTTCGCTTTTATATTCATAGCTTCTTCATACCCCAAAGGATATTCCACGTGATATGAAAAAGCGTCTGGGTTGATTGGATCCGTCGGTTTATAAAGATGTTGATGTTTGACTGTCATAAAAAGCTTCGAGGAAAACGGATTTTCCTCAATCGATTCAATCAATTGCCGATTTTTCTTACAGATCAAAACAAGTGCCTCGACGTCTTTCTCAGTTTCCATGAACAGACAGACTATTTTCATGTGTTCAATCTCGAGCTGAGTTTGACTTTTGTTTTTCACATCCATCACAATGACATATTTTTAAGTTTTTTATTAGTTGTGTTATTCCTCAAAGTGTTCTTTTGTAGATTTTTCATCACTCCAAAGACTGTGCTATTAATAATTAAATTATTAGTAACTTATAATAAATATAACTTCAAGGCACAACGAAAATTTAAACTATAATTTAACTATAAATGTTATAGTTGCATTCGACAAGATTAAGCCTTGGAACATAGAAAACAAAGACGTTTCCCATCTTTCTCAATGAAGTCACCCTCAAGTGGTGTCCCACACTTCGAACACACAAAACAGTTTGGGTGCCACACTTTCCCATCGACTCGTGCTATACGTCCAATTATCACTTCTCCACACTTCTCACATTTCTCTTGGTTCTGTTTCTTATCAAAACAGTCGACGCAACACAACACATTCCCTTTCATCAAATACCCGTCAAGTGGGCGGCCACACACTGAACACTTGAAACATGCTTTGTGAATCGCCTTCGTCTTATTTTCGATGACAACGGTTGGTATTTGGTATGTAGTTTTCCCACAAATGAAGCAGTCCATTCAACTGATTTTTTAAGTTCACTTATTCTATAAACAGCCAAAGCCTTTATAAAAACAAAACAAAACACTCAATTCGATTGAAACCACCTCTTTACTGGCGTTGAAAACTCGCTCTTCTCTTCACTCATCTTCTACATTTCATTTCTTCCCTTCTTACATCTGACATATTCTTTTTATATATAAACATCACTCTACAAATAACAAACATTCTCTTTTAACGTCTGAAGTTCTTCTTCTAATGTGTTAATCCTTTCAGTTAACTCAGTCACTGTTTCTTCCAAAGCCGTGACATATGTTGGGTCGATATACGTTTCACTTTCCATTGGTTTTTCTGGTTCCTTTCTTTTACTATTGTATATATATAATGGTATATTTATAGTTAAAATATAGTATATCTCTCCTATGATGAAATTGGAACAAAAATCAAGTGAATTTATTGAATGAGCTCAATTGAAGACATCATAGAAAGCATTGGACCTTCGGGGTTGACACGCTTGATGTAATAAGTTGCTCTTTCTATTGGGATCGAAACAAAGTTGTTATGATGGTGACACACAACAACACCTGTTTTACCTGCCATGCCGATGTGGACGGCGGCGTTTGCAAGGCACAAACAGAAATGTGCATCAGAAGCATTGCACGGTGCAGATCGAATCATATAACTTGGGTCGATGAATTTGATGGTGTGTTCGATGTGTTTTTCATCTAAGTGTTTCTTGATTTGTTCTCTAATATACCCAACAGCATCCCAGAACATCGCATTCCCAGACTTATCCTTTCCCAAGTCCAAGTCTTTAGGTTTCAGTGATTGGCACGCACCTTCAGCAATGACAATTACTATATGTCCCTTTGTCAAGAGTCTTCTCTCGGTCATTCGAAGTATTTCATCCATCGAAACATCGACTTCTGGTATCAGCACCAAGTTGACATCCCCACTCGCAACAGACGCATATAATGCAATAAACCCGGCATCTCTTCCCATTAACTTAACTATTCCAATCCCATTTTTGGCACTTTTGGCTTCATAATGAACGGCATTAATGGCTTCTTGGGACAATTCAACAGCAGTGTCGAACCCAAAAGTAGAGTCTGTGTAACAGATATCGTTGTCGATCGTTTTTGGAATACCAATGACTGATATTGGACTTTTGCGTCGTCGAAGTTCTTGATCGATTTCATTGGCCCCTCTGAGGGTACCATCTCCTCCTAATGTGAAGAGGATGTTGAAGTTGTTATCGATCAAAAATTGCGCCATGACCTTTGGGTTTTGATTGCCTCTCGAGCTTCCCAAAATGGTTCCACCTCTTTGATGGATGTCAGAGACGTTTGTGTTGTCCAATTTGATGCACTCTGACTTGTCTGGAGTGAGTCCTTCATATCCATATTTCAGTCCATATATTTCTTTCACTCCATATCTATTCTGTAAGTTCATTACAAGGCCTCGGATGACATTATTCAATCCCGGACATAGCCCACCACACGTCACAATACCAACTTTTGTTCTTTCTGGAATAAAGAAGAGTTTTTCCATTGGGCCAGCAAGTTCGACTTCACACTCATTGACGGGAATACCATCGATTTTGATCGCAGAGACTAACATCGTCATATCATTCACAAAAGGCTCTGGGCGGGAGTAAACGTTCTCATGGAAGCACTTTCCAAGGGAGTGGACGGTCAGTGACGGAAGAGGTTTTCCGGGGTGTTTTGGAATTTGGACTTCATTCCGTTGATGGACGTGTCTGCGTTCCATGCTTTTTTCTTTGTGAAGGGCTTGGCACTTCGTGTCACACTCTTTTTGTTTGGTTGGTGTTTGTTCCATAGCACTTCAATTGGATTTTTTAATTTCCATTTTCTTTTTCTCTTGGACAATAACTTGCCATGATAATTTAATGTGGATTAATTTCATTCTAATTAATATATAGTTTCCATGTCCTTTAGTCTTAAGAAAAAAGGTATAGTTTCAAATGGTATATAATAAACTATTTTGCTTTTCTTGTTATTCTCTGCAACACAATCCCGTAAATAGAGTTTGATATCACGAAATAAAAACGAAGAATCTGAATTAACAGTATTTTTCAAAAAAGTGGTAAAGTGATAAAACCTGGTTATTGTTTTTGGTCCTATTTTAGAGGCCCTTTTTCTACTTTTTTTCTTGAAAAATCGGGAAATGTCGTATTTCGAAAAATGTTATTTAATAACATTTTCCATCCAAGTTTCTTTGCAACAAAAGTTCACTTTTTTTCAGAATTATAGAAAAAAAATCTTTGATTAGAAATGAAATTAAATTAAACTATTAAATTTCTCAAAAAAGTTTTACTATAGATTTACATAAACTACTTCTCTTTTAATAATTAGTTTTATAATTTACAAATTGGTGTTTTAAAACAATAGTAAAATAATAGTAAAATACATACAGATTATAGTTTGCATTCTTTCATAATGAATCCGACATCTAAACACCCTTGATGGACTTTCTCCCCACACACTTTGCAAACGAAACCTTTTCGACCATCGCCATTTAATCCGCAAATAAAGCACTTTTCGCAAAGACCAATTGAATACTCGCAAAAACAGTGTGTCGGATGTTGTCCAACGAATTTATTTGTTTCAGAAAATGTGTCGAATCTTCTGTGGTGCATTGTGTATGTAACAAATCGAGCAACACACCCTGTGGTATTGATAACCCAGACGTCTCTGCGCTTTTCAGTGACTTTCTTCTCGACTATCCCTTTATCATTAACAGTCCCAGCTCGTGTTCTTGGAGACTCCATTTGGTCGTCATGAATCTCCTCAACAACTTTTCTCTTCAAATCGCCTGTCATCACAACAGATTCACACGAGTTCAACCCAAGCAGTGTCCCCATTTGGAGTGTAATAAGATTTTTGTAATATACAACAACGAGTGGTATTAATGTGCCAAAGACATATAAGTTATATCCTATTTTAGTCACCGAAGTGATAGCTCCACAATTCAACATCTTTTCACACATTAAAATTCCTCGATGGTATTGCAGAAGTCTTCCGTTTTCCGTCCCAACGTATACAAAGTCTTCATCTCCAATTACAGAACGGACTGCCTCGTTATTCACTATTTCTTCGGTGTGTATCAATTCAAGGTTTATGTTGTATGTCATGAAGACTTCAATTTGCGATTGTGTACATGCTATGCAAAGGTACTCATTGTTTTCAAAACACAGTTTAGGGTGTTCTACCTCAAGTTCAACCGAATTGATGACATTCAGGTTGTTGTCATAAAGAATAAGTGCCTCTTCAGTCACCGCAACAATTTTCTCATTCGTCGCACACACACAATGTGCAATCATTTTCACTCGTTTAATTATTTTGTACTCGTTAAATAGTATGATCTCGCTCTTCGTGTTACACACTATTTGATTTTCAGGACAACTCACGTTGAATACTTTCGAAGTGAGATTCAACTCGGTCTCTTTAATCCCCTCAATGTTCCGTATTTCAACGTTCCCATCGCTTCGAAACAAAAAGAGCTTTTCGTGTAAACACCCGATTTTTTCAACTCGTGGCGAACGCAAATAGATGATGATACTCATCAGACTATTTTCATACAGTCTCATCTTCTTGTTATAAATAGAAGGGAGGTGCTCCACTATAAATCCAAAGGCGGACCCAAAATTTTCATCTCCAAAAAATTGGCTGGTGACTTGTTGAAGGAAGTCTGCACAGTGTTTGTCGTACTTCTCGCCGTCTTTTTTATCAATAACAAAGGAGTACATCAACAACAAAAAGAGGTGGACTAATATCACATTCTTCTGAGTGATACTCTTCGCCGTTAACACCAAATCCAATGTTTCTTTAATGCGACTAAAATTCTTTGTTTTGATTCCTTTGATCTGTTCCAACGTGTTTTTCGTGAGGACATTTTTCTTTTCAATTTGCTTCAAAAACGCACTCATTTGTTGACTTGGCTCTAACACACTTTCTCCGTTCTTTGTCGTGGCGTCAACATGAAACCCTTCTTTCAGTAACTCGATTATCGATTTAATAGATACATTCTCGCTCAGTGGCACTTCCGTCTTCACAACCAAATTTGGTCGACTGATCGATTGTCGAATCCCTTGAAACGACATTTTTCTGACTCTTTTAGGTGCTGGTCTGCTTTGGTTAGGTTTTCCAGTTTTCGTTCCCTTCAAGTGGTTGACCAAACTTGTCCACTCCAGGAGTTCACTTTCTTTTCCAATCACTTTGATTGGGATTTGTATCGCTTCTGTCGAAGATATCACTACCGCGAAGATGCCACATTCCTTTGGAAAGTCGTCGCAAATTTCAATTGTACCCAACACAATGGATTCCATAGGAAACCATTCTTTAAATTCCATACTATTCTCTTTAGTTACCAAAACTAGTAATCCTCCCTCAAATAAAAACAGTTGCGCACCTATCGACAACACTCCAAAGAAGTCGGTCGTATACAGAGACAATGTTCCTTTCTTCAGTAGTCCCCACTTCTCAGTCTTCACCATAGTAATCACTTTACGAACAGTACTCATCTCATCAATGCCATTGACTTCTACCCACTTGTTAATAGTCTTAAGAACCTCAACAGAGCTCAGTAAGTAACTCATAGTGTTTGTTATCTCGTAAATTTCTCGTGTGTATATAGAACTGGCTGAAATGATTGTATTCATCGTTTCTGTATTACTAATAGGGATTCTTCCCCGAGGAAAGATAGCTTGTTTCGACTGCACACGGACATTCATGTCTTGGACGTATTCCTCAAATTGTTCCGCAACAAGGCGTAGGAAGAAGATGTGCAGCTGGAAGTGTCCCAATAGCTTCTTATCGGAAATGTCGATAAGCCCATTTTGTGTTGTTTGTGTTTTGACGCCGGTGCTCTGCGAAGAGTTTAATACCAAATTTGATTGTTTGAAAAACTCGAAGATGTTCTTCAAAGAGTAAACGTATCCGTGTGATTTGTAACACAAAGGGTATGGTGCAGGGTTATTCAAGAACTCCTGTAATGTTTTGTATAAGTGAAAAAAGAGGAGGACAAACTCCTTTGAGTTTTCAAACTTTAAAGAACTTGAGAATATTGAGGTTTGCGGCATCATAGTTTTCAAACTCCCATGTATGACGCTCTCGGTCGATAAAGACGGAAAGTTAATAAACAGCTCTTGTTCCGTTAAGTTGACTGATGACAGTATATAATTCATTAGTATTGAAGTTTGGTCGAACACCTGTTTTCCAAGGTCTTTACATACATCAGAGATCCGTGGCAAATTCAGTGTCCTCCCCGATTGAGTTGGTAGAAACGTTACACTCCCAATAGAATTCTTCTTGTTATTTTTTTATATAAATACACACATATATCATATTAAAAACAACCAAAGTTGGTATAACCAACTGTAATTAGTTTCAACCCTATTTGTAGATTAATGCTTCCTTAATTGGTTCTAATGAAATTAAAAAACACATACCGACTGTTGAGAAGAAGAAAAGTCTGTGGATGTGGACCTCACACGGAAGTGTTCCGACGAAGAGTCGAACTTGTTGAGGCGCGAACTTTTCATTCAAAGTGGGTTTTATTATTTTGATTTAAATATGAAAAAAAAATGAAAATTCGAAAACAAATCAGAAACAAATCAAACCATTATGGCATTTATTTTTGTGCAAAAAGTGGCTCGCCTTGTAATTATTTGAATTATATGATACTTGAAAAAGCTAAAATATATAATTAAAAATATTTTTATAACACCATTATAATTATAATATTTTGTCTAATTTACAAGTCTTGAATTTTAATTGTAAATTTTAATTAAAAAATAAAATAAACTAAAAAGTTGTATAAACCATTTTTAATGGTTTTTTTATTTATTGATATAATTCTTTGTTGTATTTTTTTTCTTTTGTTTAATTCAAGTTGATCCTATTTGTATAGTTTGCGTTCTTATATATTATAGATACTATTCATTGCAATAACTCTATATAATAGAGAGGATGGAGTACAAATCGACAAGCTCCCCAAAAGGATTCTCGATCCACCGCCACTCTAAAGACTCCCACAGAAACTCTACACCCGTGAAAGGTACAGCACTCCCACCACGTCGAATGACAATAGAAACAACTTCACAATCACTGACTTCTTCATATTCACCGCGTCAATCTTTATCTGCCATTTCTCAAGAAGAACAACCCACAACCGTGAATGGGGATACGTCCATTTCTGTCGTTCGAAAACACATCTTTTCGTCGACAAGTAATTTAATTGAAGAACTCAAAAAAGCACTGAGCTACAAGAGGCTAGTTCTAGGTGTATTTTCTCATGTGCACAAGACTGAAACAAAGAAGAGTGTTATAGAAACAATCGACACTGAGGCATTACCTATTATTGAAATTGAAACATCCGACTTGGTGCCTTTAGAAGTAGCTAAAGATAAAGAGACGTTTGAAGACCTCTTTGTCGAGATCGAAGACATTGAAGAAATCTTTTCAAATGCACTTCAACTCTTCGAGACAAACGCACCGAACAGTCTTTGCCCATTAGTCATGTATCTGCGGCAAGACGCAGTCGATCGAATCACAAGCTTCATCCCAAATCTGAAATATAAAACAATGCAGACTACGGTCTTTGCCACTTCTTCAAAATTCTTTAAAAGAGTCTACGAGTGCAAAGACTTACCAAACCCAGTCGAACTGTTTGCCGACATTTCAGCATATTTGTGTGCATTGATCCCCCTCTTCGAGTCGGACAGAGTCGACGTCCAACGAAAAATCGAGGCGCAAGAAATGTTGGTTCAATTCAAAGTGTCTTCCTCATTCAAACTGCGGTCGAGTGATTCCATTTCATTGTCCGGGCTCTTATGGGCAAAGTCTAATATCAGGAACTCTGCAGTCTTTACAACACAAATGTTAAAGTCGTCGTCTGAACTCGGCGCATTTTTAGTCCAACATGATGTCATTCTATTTTTAAGATGCTTGTTAGGGGTCGACTCCTCTTTTGATATTATGTCTTCTGTTTTTCAAGCACTCGATGAAGACAAAATCATCGATTGTTCACTTGCCTATGTCAAATTGGTGACTAAAGACGGGATCGTGCGATACCACAAAACTGCTTTGGTGTTGACCAAACTTGGATTGATCAGTGTTGTTCTGTTCTCGAATGGAAAAGCTCTGTTTGGCGACTTCATCACTGCAAAGAGCTTGGTCAACGCAGAGATCGAAAAGTGCCCTTCACAAGACCCGACTTTTATTGGCGATTTGCACATCAAATGTAAAAATGAGAATTACAAGAAGGAAGTGTACTACGGCTTTATGCATGAAGAGGAATTACAAGAATGGGGCGCGACCTTTCAGATGTGGGCTGGACAACTCGACGTAGTCTATGAGCCCAACGTTGAAATTACAAGTCCAATAGTCACCCAATTTAACAAGAGAAAAGGCCAAAAAGTCCAAAAGTATGTTGGGAGTTCGGCGCAAGATTTGGTAGAAGTCCAACTGTCACTTAATGGGAGCACTTTAGTTCCCGAGGTCATTCAAAAGTGCGTGAATCAAATAATTCGAGAGGGTTTGGGGGTTGAAGGACTCTTTAGAAAACCCCCCGACCAAAACCAATTGGAGGAGGTCATGAAGAAATTGAACGACAAAGACTTCCGACTGACTTTTAATAGTAAAGGGGAGTACCCCATATCAACATTATGTGGATTGTTAAAGAGCTTTTTAATGGAGATGAACCCTCGGTTTTTGAATGAAGACCAACATAAAGTCTTTTTTGAGATCAGTAAGAAGAAGGATGGAGAGCGTCGAGAGATGTGCATGCAATTCATTAAGTTACTCGACGCGCCACAAAAAGTGATACTTGGCGAGTACCTTTACTTGATGACGTTCATCGCTGCGAATCAACGGATCAACCGAATGGGTTCTTTGAATTTGTCCACCGCAATTTGTCAGTGTTTTCTTCCTCGGAAAAACAGTGTCGAAGGTGCGTCTGTTGAGAACGAGAGTTTCGAGTGTTTGATTGATAATTTCGACATGTTTAAGGAGAACACACCAAAGACACTTCCTTCGATCTCTTGCTTGTTTAAACGACAGAACAAGAATGATGGTGGCATTGCCTTAATATACATCGAGAAGTCTGAAGTGATGTGGGTGATCGACAAGAATGGCGGTGTTGTATCAGTTGATGTGAATACGTTGAAATCCGAACTGACTAAAATCAGTGATGTAAACATTTTAGACATGAAACACATGACGGTGAGTGGAGATATCGTTGTTGTTGGTACGACGTCGATGATATACTCCATATCCGTTCTCACAAAAACAGTGATCCAGAAAAGTGAGAAGAAACGGTGCAGCTTCCTCACCTCAAGTCAAGATGTTCTTTATATCGGCGAACAAAATGGTGAAATAGAAATAGTAGATGTGAACACATTTACCGTTAAAAGTGTAATTGATGTCAAACTGAATGAAGGAGACAGTAAGACTATCAATCCAGTCATCTCTTTCATTCTACCTACTAATGACTACATCTACGCAGTTGGCGTCAATCGGTGCGAAGTAGTTAAGATCGATAAAGCCACTGAAAAGGTCAAGCAAGTGATATACACGCCACACAACTCGACAATCACTTGTTTAGGGTTTTCAGAGGAAAGCAAGAAGCTTTGGAGTGGGGATTATAATGGTATGATCTGTGTGTACTCTGCAGATAACAATTCGCTCTCACACAAATTCCAATTTCCACCCACATTTGGTAATGTCACATCACTTCAAAGTATCCCAGGGTATGTCATTGCTACATTCATTTCGTCACAAATTGTTGTCTTCAGTTCAGATAAAGCACATTTGATTACATCTGCTTCCACCGATTTGTTTGTGTCATGCAAGTCGAGTATTGTTGTGAGACGGAATTTGAATGGAACGAAGTCCTGGAACATTTGGATGGAAAAGGATGACAGTGGAGATGTTGTGATCTTAGATGTGTCGTACCCGTCCTCTCAAAACAATGACATTGTGCTGGATAGGCTTGACAATTACATCACAAATAAATACTACGCTAAGGCAGACGTTGGTCATCAATTCATGCAAGCAAAAACAGAAGACAAATGTACTATATGTGGTGAGTCTTTTGTTGATGGGTTGGATTGTTACAAGTGTTCGAGTTTGTTTCTCTTCTTCCATTTATATATTATAGTATAATATAATATATAGTATAATATATATATATATATATAACATACGACTTACAAATAGAGTGCGAGAAACACGTGCATGGGAGTTGCATCGCGAAATTTGCATTTGTGCCGTGTATGAAACCGACCGGCTCTATTTTTGATGTGATCAACACATCGAAGGGTGGCGTGAAGAAACAGAAAGTCAAGAAGTGAAGTCTTTATATAAAACAAGTGGTTTGTAAGTTTGCAGTTAAAAAAGGTGGATAACACTTTTAGTTTTTGTTATTAAAAAACCCTTCACTTTTTTAAGAATTGTTTTCTCAAGCACAACTGTTTAATTCAAAGATGGCAACGGAAACTATAGCACCAACAACTGAAATACCCGAAGTTGTCGAAGACAAAGCGTACACAAAAATCGTGTTTGAATTGTGTCCGTTCTGTCACATTCCAAAAGAGTACTGCGAGTTTGGGCCAAATGCGAAGAAGTGTAAGAAGGCACAAGCAGAGACAGAGGAACAAGCAAAAGAAGTTCCAAAAGAAGAGGAACCCAAACAAGAAGGTGCTGTTGAAACAACACCAACCGAAGCAAAAGAACCCGAAAAAGAAGAACAAAAAGAAGTAAAGAAAGAGCAGGCGAAGAAGAAAGCCACTCACAACACTATTAAAATCACTAACGTCAAACGAAACAAAAAGCAGTCGGTCACGAAGATCTCAGGCGTCAAAGCATTTGGCTTAAAACAACAAGACGTTTCAAAATTCATCTCCAAAAAGTTCTCCGTTGGAGCTGCTATTGATAAAACACAGAACATCGATTGCATTAACATTCAAGGCGACTTCGTGAGAGAAGTTGCAGATATCTTACACGACCAATTCAAAATTGACTTGGATAATATTGAGTATTGACTTAATTGATTGGTACTTTTCTTGTTATTATTATTATTATTATTATTATATCTTCATTGATTCAAATGTGAATATTAAACTAGTTGTTAATTAATTAATTACAAACAACAGAGAGTTATCATTGTAACTGGTATTACAAGAATAGATATTAAAAGTTCCAAAACACCGAAAAGAAAGAGGAAAGTCGATATATGAAATTCATACTTTATTCATACGTAAATTAACCAAAGACATTGTCGATGGGAGAGAAAGTGAGTTCAAGCTCAGACTTTGTGATTTGGAACTCACGCAAGATATCACTGATTGAATCGTCGGGACTCAGCAAACAGTTGTTGAAATACACTCTCTAATTTTGAATAAAGTTATAGAATAATAGTAATTATAATTATACTATATAAGAATGAAGAGAACAAACATAAGTTGTAGTTGTGTCACGCAATTGTTTGGTGATGAATACTATGATATGATCAACAGTTTTGTCTTTCGACATTTTATAACCTTTCCCAAGACCTTTTCCACCAGGAATATTAATTCCTTTAAACCTTAAAATGACTTTCCCATCAGAAGGCGGTTGAGGCTTTGGTGACGCTTCTAACTTCACATCACTTTTGACTTCTTGTTTTTCAATTGGGGTGTCGCTCAGTTTTATCTCGACTTTTTCTTGTTGCGTCTCAACTTTTTGCTGAGCAGTTTCGTCTTGTTTAAGGTCTTCTTTCACATCGGGTTGAGTTGTTTTTTCTTCAGTCATTAGACTTTTGAGTTTCTTTTTAATTAGAATACTATTACTATAATTAAATTATAATTGAATTATTAACAAATTAATAATAAAATAAGATTAAAATAAGATTAAATTATTATTAACAAAACGATACAGTTATATTTGAATTGATTAGATTTGGTGTTAAATGATATGAGAACTCACAATTGATTGCTACCATCTCCAAATTAAGTCAATGGATGTGTAATTGATGTCTCTGAAATCCCGAGACTACACGTGTATAACGCCTAAAATAATTTCACTCAATAAAACTCATATTATCAATCTTAAAAGATTTAGACGATGTCTTTTTCTGGAGATAACTCGAAGGGATGGGAGGAAGCCGGCCCTGTCAAAAGGGATATCAAAAAGTTCAAGAAGCGTGGACATATGACGCAAGTCATTCCGCAATCAAGACTTAACCAAGGCTACGTCGAATCTTCATCTGGACTCATTGTACCAGCAGCGCCAACAACAGGCGCTTCTTTAGACTCGCCCAAAACTACAAAACCAGTGCCGTCAGCCGAAGCTTTGGCTGTTGCGAGGGCATCATCACAAGAACAGAAAAAAGTGTGGCAAGGCTCCAATAGAAATAACACAAAAAGCACCGCCTTTGGGCATAGACAATCGGTGATTAACGTGAAGTCTCGAAACGCGAATAGGAAGTCGCAATATGGAATGCAACCCATCGACTTCTCAAAGGAATATATGGAAGTGAAAGAGGCGAATAAGACAAAGGCGAGGGACGAAACAGTTTATGAGCGACTTGAAGAACCAAAATTTGACTCTGCGGACTATGAAGACCAGTACGACAGCGACCAATACGTTATGGAAAAGAAAGTTGCGGAAGAGAAAATTCGATTTGTCTCGAAACAAGATGTGTTGTTTCGACCGAATTGGATCCAACTTGAACAAATCGATTTGTCTGAACGAAGTATCCAACCCAAATTTGTGTGTTGCGAGGCGAACACTGTGTTGATTGTCTGTGCAGACGAGTTGTCGAGTTTTTTACTTTACGATGGAATATACCACCCCATCAAAAACAATTACAAAAATCGGATTCTGAAAGCCGCTTTGGACCCAACGGGAATGCACGTTGTGTTGTTGTACGCCGAGAACAAAATGGGATATTGCAACAGAAACAAACTCCAGCCGGACCCAAAGATCTTTTCATTTCCACAAGAGATACTTGCTGCAAATAAAGAAAAAGTCAAGCTTGAAGTCACTGCACTGAAATTTGACCAAAAAACTGCGAGCACTGAATTGACTGTGTTTGCAGGAACAAGCTCGGGATGTATATTTAAGATATTGGTGTTCACCCGAAACAACCCAATCAACTTCACGTTCCAATCAATTTATCCCATTGAAAACAAGAGAGTCGATATTCGAGGAACAACAGGAACTCTGAGAAGTGCTCTTAAAACACCCCGAGAGAAAGCACAACAGACTATGGTAGATACATCAACGATCATTGATATTGGTCCAGTCGAGGATTTGTATTTTATTGACAGTGAAAAGGTCAAGATGTTCATCGTGTCGAATTTCAATTACGTTGTTGCGCTGTCGATTAACGCGGATTCGCAAACAAACAAATACACAGTCGAGGACTTGTCAGAGAGATTCCAAAATGAAGTGATGGTTGGGAGTAAGTCGGTGTTGTTCGTCGACCCCCTTGCCGATGAGAAGTCGTCGTTCTACAAAGTCTGTTTTGTTAGTGCAGCCTTTGTCGATCAAGGCAAAGTGTTCCGTAAGATGACTCGGCTAATTGCACAAGTCGAAGTTAAAGAGATTGAGAACTTCGACACCGTCACTGGTGTGGATCAAATTAAGAAATTGAATATCTATGGGAATGGGAAGTCGAGTAAAATCAACGCGGACTGTGCAATTGATATGGGAGACGAACTCTTTTTGTTGTTCCAAAACAAAATTGGGTGTTATGACTTCGACACTAAAAATTCGTGTGAACAGCAAATTGATGGGAAATCGATTTCTTTAAGTATCGACCACTCGACAAAAGATGTTGTGGTGTGTACTGAATATTGTTTGTATAACATCAGGTCATTGCATCCAAAAATCGAAAAGAACTTTGATGTCCAGTTACTCAAAAACATCGGAAACTCGGAGACAATGTTGTTTTACTTTGTCAGGCGACTCGACGAAATTCTGCCAATGACAAATGACCGAGTGAAACGAATTCAGGCTGCTTTACTTTACGTGTGGAGTATCACCCTTATACTGAAAAACGCTTTTACGGAAGACGCAGAGAAAGTCGAAGAAGTGAAAACAAAGCTGAAGGTCGTGTTGCACAAGAAGATATACGCCAAACGAGTGATTGACGAAGAAATCGTCTCATATCTTTTTATCAATGCGGGTGATGACAAACAGGAATTGTTCAAGTGGTTTTGCAACGAAATTAATAACCTCAAATTTTTGTTCAAATACTATTTGCTTGTCTCGAACTACGTTGCTGCAGTTGGTGTATTGGACGATATGTATGCTTCTAAAGACGAAGATGTCCGTCTCGATTGCAAGAAGCTTGTGAAAAAGTATTTTGGTGTTCTATTTAAAAATGCCGAACAAGAATTTGCCTTCTTCTTGAATCCTCCATGTCAAAAGCAAATCTTCACGGGGCCAGATATGGCTATTTCATTGAGCTTAGTCGCGGAGATGATGGAATTTAGTGATTTCGAATCGACTTTTGTGCATTGGTTCAAGGATCGAATAGCAAAGAAATATGAGTCGGAGTACCTCATTGAGATCTTCTTCTGGCGTCTCGTCAAATACAAAATCGACCAACAAAAGAATCCAACCGAGGAGGTTGATCGATACTTTGCGTCGTACATCCGAGACAGTCCAACAAAGTTCACGTCCGTCCACTTTTTCAGAGAACTTAAGAACAGGAAATTCTACTTCTCGTTACTTGATATCTACACAACAAACAGACAGTACATCAACGCAATCGACACTATTGGAGACATATTCAGGATGTATCACTTGAGTGGAGATGCTGTGAGAGATCTCATTCGGACCCTTGTGGAGAAGAAAGATAAACTGCCGAATGAGGAAGAAGATGAGAACGTTTTTGTTGTTAAAATGCTCAAACTCAAGATCGAGGCGAACGACAAAAAGTCCGAGGTTGGCAATTTGATTGATGACGATAAAATCCCGGTACAGAGTGTTCTTGCATCACTCTCTTTGTTGACCAACACGAACACCAAACTTGAAAAACTGAAGGCGTGCATTTCAAATACATTTGAAAAGTATAAAAGTAAAGATCTGGAAAACTCGAAGAAAATCAATGAATTGGTTGAGGGGAGGAAAAAGGGGATTGCAAGTCTTGGAAAGGCTGGTAACATTCTTTTCATCGAACACAGTCAGAAACAATACATCCATTTCAGTGTTGCAAAACAATGTGCGTTGTGCTTCCAATTCTTTGACAAAAATGCGAAGAACGATGTGTGTATTGGGTTCACATGTGACCATTTCTACCATGCCAGTTGTATTCTCAAAGAGGTTTGTTTATTAGTATAATGTTGGTTGAGTCCCTGTTGAATATCGATTCTGTTATTTATGTGGAATGATATGTTTAACTAGTAGATCAAAAAACACCAAACTCCTTGGGCACTTGAAATTTTGAGGAATTATAACACCGCTGGCCAGGAATTAAAATCCGAACAATTAACTAAGGAATGCATCCTTTGTAGCAAACACGTTATTCAACTCGGAGAGTTCGAACTTGACGATGACCACACAGAGAACTGGGACATCTAATTCTCACTTTTTACTCACATTATTTTATAGCTTTGTTATAATTGTTGTTACTTCTTTTAATGACTCAATACAAATAGTATTTTTTATTAATAATATTAGTATTATGTTTAATTAAATAAATAACTATTATTATTAATATTGTGATATAATTAAATTTTATTATAATTATTAATATTAACACATATTATTTCGTTTTAGTATTTATTTGTTATTATTATAATGAATACGAATTTTATTTAATAAATAATTTAATAAATAATTAAAAACAATCTCCAAAAATAACTTCAAATTATGAACTTGAAATTGTTAAAAGTAAAAAACACTAAGTTTTTTTTACTAATAAAGATATTATATATTATAGTAAACATACTTATCTTGTGGTGAAAACAAATGCTTCATATTATTTGGTGTTTTTCCAATCCAAAATTCAAAGCAAAAGAAGTGAAGAACTTTGATGTATTTTAATAGAGTCAGTCCTTAAAGTTTGTACACCCGACTTTTCCATATTTTTTATCCTATTTTTCGGGATTTTTTTTGATTTTTCCCAAAAGTACGTTTTTATTTTTTGCTGCTATTTTTGTTTTTATCCTAATACCCAAAAAAATTTGGAAAACAAGTCTAATATTCGTAAAATGTACAACGTTTACGGACTGACTCTAATTTAATCGACATTCATTATATTTACTTTAAATCTGATGGGACAAGAAGTCTCAACATATCAAGACTTTTCCACAGATGATCCTTTGATACAAATCGACCACGAAGTTTATATTGGGGGAACACACCATTTAACTCTTGAAATCGTACAAAAGTATAAAATAGGTGCAGTGTTATCTTTTGGTCCAACACCAATCGACTACCTTCCGAGTGTTTGTGATTATTTACACATTTCCTTAGCAAAGCAGACTCCTCAGTCGACAACGCAGAAGTTGACCACCTCCATCACTTACGTTAAAAATGCAAAGAAGAATTCAGTCCCCATTCTCATTATAAAAGACTTTTCAGACCAAACACCCTTCTTTCTCATCTCCTATTTAATGGCAACGGTTCCTTTATCCTTCGAAGATGCAAACACTCTTGTCTTTTCTAAACTCACATTACTTCCTCTCACAGAGCATCACACGACTTACTTCCACTCTTTTCCTCTTCGTCTATAATTAGATCATTCCACACTCTTTTGTTATGTCTTAGATAGTGTATAGTTGAGATAACCAAACTTTGTAAAAAACTCAC